AGCACCTGCGGGAGGAGGGGGGTCAGGAACCCCAAAATACCCCAAAAATATCCCAAAAATACCACCCCAAAATGTCCCAAAAAACACCCCAAAAAACACCCAAAAATATCCCAAAAAATGACCCCAAAACCCCCCAAAATCCTCCTGAAACCCCCCCCCCAAATCGGCACTGGGGGGCTCGGGTCAGGGACCCCGAAACCCCCCAAAACCCTCCCCAAAATCCCCCCCAAATTGGCACTGGGGGGCTCGGGTCAGACTCTGAAACCACCCAAAATATCCCCAAATTCCCCCCAAAATCGGCACTGGGGGGGGCTCGGGTCAGGGACCCCCAAAAACCCCCACAAAATACCCCCCAAATCCCCCAAATCGGGGTCCCGATTCCCATTTTTGGGGTCCTGATTCCCCTTTTGAGATCCCAATTCCCCTTTTTAGGGGCTCAATTCCCCTTTTTGGGGCCCCAATTCCCATTTTTGAGATCCCAATTCCCATTTTTGGGGTCCCTCTCCCCCTTTTTGGGGTCCCACTCCCCCTTTTTGGGGTCCCACTCCCCCTTTTTGGGGTCTCTCTCCCCCTTTGGGGGTCCCACTCCCCCTTTTTGGAGTCCCTCTCCCCCTCTCTGGGGTCTCTCTCCCCCCTTTGGGGTCCCATTCCCACTTTTTGGGGTCCCTCTCCCCCTTTGAGGGTCCTAATTCCCATTTTTGAGATCCCAATTCCCATTTTTGAGATCCCAATTCCCATTTTTGGGTTCCAATTCCCCTTTTTGGGGTCCCTCTCCCCCTTTGGGGGTCCTAATTCCCATTTTTGAGATCCCAATTCCCATTTTTGGGTCCCTCTCCCCCTTTGGGGGTCCCAATTCCCATTTTTGAGATCTCAATTCCCATTTTTGAGATCTCAATTCCCATTTTTGGGTTCCAATTCCCCTTTTTGGGGTCCCTCTCCCCCTTTTTGGGGTCCCACTCCCCCTTTTTGGGGTCTCTCTCCCCCTTTGAGGGTCCCGCTCTCCCTTTGGGGGTCCCTCTCCCCCTTTCTGGGGTCTCTCTCCCCCCTTTGGGGTCCCATTCCCCCTTTTTGGGGTCCCTCTCCCCCTTTGGGGGTCCTAATTCCCATTTTTAAGATCCCAATTCCCATTTTTGAGATCCCAATTCCTATTTTTGGGTTCCAATTCCCCTTTTTGGGGTCCCTCTCCCCCTCTGGGGGTCCCAATTCCCATTTTTGAGACCCCAATTCCCATTTTTGGGTTCCAATTCCCCTTTTTGGGGTCCCTCTCCCCCTCTGGGGGTCCCAATTCCCATTTTTGAGATCCCAATTCCTATTTTTGGGTCCCAATTCCCCTTTTTGGGGTCCCTCTCCCCCTCTGGGGGTCCCAATTCCCATTTTTGAGACCCCAATTCCCATTTTTGAGACCCCAATTCCCATTTTTGAGACCCCAATTCCCATTTTTGAGATCCCAATTCCCATTTTTGAGATCTCAATTCCCATTTTTGGGTTCCAATTCCCCTTTTTGGGGTCCCTCTCCCCCTCT